CTCACGCATCCACGGCAGTACGTAATGCTATATATACAGATTTTGGTTCTTCCTGACAATCATCAATCCTCTCTAAAGTGAATACAAGAAAAAGTAAGAAGTTGGTGTGTTGGGAACGGATCTCTGGTGAACCTGAATATGCAACAAAATCTAGATTGGGCAAACTCTAGGCTGCCCAAGTGAGGCTCGAACTCACCACCTTCCGATACAACTTGAGGTTAAAAGTCGGACGCTGTAACCGATTTAGCCATGGGCAGATGCTATATCCAACGGGAGACCTCATCACATCAATCACAACTGCACGTGTAATTAGAAGATGTGCTGGTGCTGGCATCTCTGCTCGGCTCCGCGCTCTTTGCTTTTGGCCATCATGTTGGTCGTCCTTCCCATCATCGCATCCACGGGCTAAATGTTCAGTACGTCCTAAGATTTGTTTCTGTGCTTTTCTCACCGTAATCTAACTGTGATCCTTTCACTCATGGCCTCCATGTCCCCTCAATCGTGCGACACCTTTCCATTGTGATGTTAACCTATCTTGACCAGAACGTCAGCCCATACCTTTCCAACAACGGAAGATGATTCAAAATGTTTTGACAACTGAGGGGAAGGATAAGGATAAGGTGCGTTGGTTGGATTTGTCCGTCGACGCTTGGTGCTAATCTTAGTCTAATGATTCTGTTTCTGCATGCTTCTTCAGCGCGTCAGCTCTCATTACCATTGCTCCCTCCAGGCTGTCATACATCCAACGTCTGTTCTCCGCCGTTGATTCCCTTCACAGCACCGCCTACTCCATTTCTCCACACTCACTTGAACACAGAGTTGGAAGGGACACACCATATCCATGTTCGATGGGTGTCGACTCTCGAGCGATAGGAACGAGGACGAGGGTGCGTTACTTCGTTTGTGTCATGATGATTCTTATTCCTGTCGTTCAAAGATTATACGTGAACCTCATCCTTCAACTCCCCCACCAAGTGGTCATCACACATCCAAAGTGCAAGTTACGTCTTCGAACGTCGACCTGTTCTAAGTGAATTGCACAATCAGCGTGCTCAGGTAACTAATCGAGACGAAGCGTTCGAGGTGAGCTAGGCGGCTTACCTTGTTTAGTGTCATACTGAACTATGGTATTTCAAGGAACAACTCGAACGAAGCATATCCATCACAACACGCAAACGGGCATTCGTCATTGAAGGATCGTGTGAGTAACACCACGTGCTGATCGATCTCTTGCATACGTCCCCCGCTTTACCCCTGATGTTCGTGGGTGTAGTCAACGTGCATCATGTTCGCTTCAATCTTGCTTCAGTTTTAATGTGTCCCCACACGTTCATTCGATTACTTTCTACTCTCTTTTCTCCGGCTCGGATTCCCTCAAACACACCGCACCTGGTACATTGCCTAGTAACAATCAATGCGTAATGCTGCGTTGATCCGTTTGTTCGCCCCACACTTCTCAGCACAGTTATTTATCCAGGGTATTCTCAGCGTGTATATCGTGCCTGTTACTCTGGTAAAGGTTATATCTACGCATACTTCCCACCCAGAGTATAACCAAGGAAATTTTGGGCGGGTTATCAAAGCGATACCAAACGGCACTGGACGCCATGAAAAATTTTTTATTAACTGAAAACTTTATAATTCCCAAGTTGCCTTCTTACCCAGCTATTTTCTATTATCCCTTGGCTGCCTCTCGAGAAAGTTGGGTTGATGACCAAAAAGGGCGGTTTTCTCACATCCCACTGCAAACTCCCCTGCCATCAAGTTCTTGGTCCAACCGTAATACCGGTTTTTTTTGTTGATTACAGCGGTAATGGGAACGTGTGGCGCTCCCACGCCCCCCTAAATAGAGCTATTGGAGCTTTCCCTCATTGTCAAGCAATACACGTACAAGGTACCTATGTTCCGAACGGCGCCCCCTACCCGATAATAGAAAATAGCTAGTAAATAACCAGCTTTCCAATCCCAACCAATACCCTCGTAGCAATGGGATTCGATCTGATATAAACCATATCAAATTTCCTCTGACCAAGCGCGAGGTTTTTCGATTATCAGTCTTTCCGTATCCATAACATATAAATTGGCGGGCCTTGGTTTCTCAAAGTGTTCCCTTTCCTCCAAAATACACCCCAAACACATGACATGGCCCCAATACATTGTGAATGTTCAAAAATTTTTTTTCCCCGTTCAATTGCTAAAACCGATTACTCCCCCCGGAATAGTCCAAAAAATAACACTTGGGAATCGTGAATGCATTTAGCATAGCACCTCCTGCAACCAATTTATCCCCCCACTTCAGTTATTTCGGTCGATCTAAACCCATTTTTTCCTGGTTTTTCTGGAGGCCCCGACGGAGGACCAGAGAAAGTTTTTTCATTTTAGAGAAATCGTTGTGGAACCGGGGTGAACCACCCAGCCCAGCCACCGCTTTTAAGCGATATCCCAGTTAGAAAATTGCCTAACGCAAGGTGCACACCAGCTGTAATAGCCCACGATTTCACCTTTCGATTTTTCAGAACCACGTCAAGCAAGGCCATTTTTACGCTTCTTATTTTTTTCCATTTTCAATTTCTTATTCAAAGCACAGAGCATTCGTACTGATAGCAGCACAACCCCCCAGCAGCGATGGTGGAGCTATGTTTGTCTAGCTTCTGACTACCGCTTCTGTCGACTTATAACCGCTGTAGTGCTTTTTTCACGGATTCACAAACCATGGTGGTTCGGCAACCCCGGTTTACTCATGCCTCGATAGCCATTCTCCCCACCAGTATTCAGACATTGTCTCGGCAACCCCGGTTGACTCAATCCTCTCCAACCTGGGTATCCATTCCTACCACCAGTATTCAGACATTGTCTCACAATTCTACCCCTGTCGAGTCCACCGACTCACCACAAACTTCTGGCAAAGGACTTGAAGGCAAATCCGAACCCAGAAGGCCGCAAACAACCGGTATCATTATCGGTGCTGTGGTTGGTTTCATCGTTTTTCTAGCTTTGATCATAGCAGCTATTTGCATCAGACGTAGGAGCACCAGAAAAGGGCGCCCATTTATCACTCCTTACCCCGACAGCCTACCGATAAACAAAAAGGGGAGGCACAAACATCATGATGTGCATGGGACAAGGGATAGTGAAGAGGAGGGTGTAGACCGTAACAGAAACGAAGTTGTCGGTCTTCGAAATGACACTGTCGTCGAGCCCCAAGGAACAAGTGGACAGCAGCTCACAGGAAGATGGATCAGATATCATGAGGACAGTGGATGGAGACCACGACCGCCGCCTTCAGAATCAGGTACCGGGAACTCGGATGTGATTGATATGCCTCCTCAGTACAATACCGCTATTTGAGCGTCGTGCATCGTGTACCAGGAATATTAATTTATATACAACTCATTCAACTATCTGCAGAAAAAGATATCTTATTGACTCGAACCCATCTGTAGGGTCAAGTTTGTATAACGGCGATGAGGGAAGGAGTCAAGTTGACTCAGGCCCCTATTCCGTCGAATAGTCCGTTGTAGGGAATTGAGCTCTGGGCGATCACGCATCATTCTAGCGGAACTGAAAGGCGATACTGTACTACACGATGATACTACTAGTTCTGTTCCAGGGGATCAAACCCTTGGCTTTCCCGTTCGATAACTACGCATGATGGCTACTACAACATAACGGAAATGTACAAGCGACCATTGTGAGCTATAGGTAACAATTGTGAGACTAGATATGTGAGTTGTATGTGAGAGCAAGCCTGAGGGAATATTCCTTCGTGGCCTGCATGTCATGTTCGTCTAGGTTAGCTCAACCTCCGCGACAGAGAGGAAGGATAACTTGAATCCAACAAGCTTGCTCCACGTCTGGGAGAACGCGTATGCAGATTGCTCTTACTGAATAGACTCGCAACTCTGGGCGTACGGGGAAAAAACGATACAGTAGCGCACCTTTCTACTTAAGGATGTACTTGGCCAAAATAAAAGATGTCTCTATGGAAGCTGAGAAACGAGTACAATACAAAAACTGGAGACTGGTTTGAGCATAGTTCCGTTACAGGGAATCGAACCCTGGGCTATCGCGCGGCATCATATGGAGCTGTCTTGAGAGGCGATAATGTTAGCCACTACACCATAACGGAGCTAGTAAATTTGTTCTTACCAGATATGTGGGATGTTGACTAGCTGAATAGATATCATAATAGTAACGTGTGAGTGAAGAGCAACGATAGTTCTTGAAGTTGGAGTGTTGGAATGTAAAGTGAAGAGTGGTGTTATTCTGGTTCCCCTTGGGAGAGTAACCGGTAAATGCGCTGGAGAAAGCGTTGAGATACACGTCGCTCAGGTTGGGATTAACTGCAACCGCTTCAGCGAATCCAAGCCTGACCGATGGCCACTACAATGTGGAAGTGTCAGGCAATAGTTGGTGACTATGGGTAAGGATTGTGGCAGATGTCTCAGAGCAAGCCTGAGGGATTGCTGAGGGAAGAACGACCTGGAACAAAATTCGTTCCCTTCTCCACCTGATGTATGTTCTCTTCCCATTCGGTTAGCCAAAACGAACTCCGTTACCACGGAAGAAAGAACGGTTTCCCCCCCGCTGCCCTCAAGGTCCTGGGGGAATGCAGTAGCATGTATATACGTAATATGTAGATGTTCGTACTACTTAGGGATAACCTGAGCAAACTCGCAATCGGGACATACAAAAAAAAAATACTTTTCCCGGGCAAACACATTGCTTTCCCAGGGAATTGAACCCTGGACTTATCGCGCAAGCATTTTAGTGGAAACCGAGGGGCGATAGCGTTGACCACTACTCAAAAAGGACCCACTACCTGATACGAAGCACGACAAGTAAAGAGAAAAGAAAAAGAATAAAAGGAAAGACGAAAAAAAACAATGTGGTTTTTACCCTAATCGTTTCTTGCCTCATGTTGTATTGTTCATTCAATAGCCGAACATTCGTTTCTATGTACTCTTTTCGTCCGGAGAAAACGAAGAAAATCGTGGCTCTTGTGGGCATATCAGGATGAGAAATAGTGAGGGCAAAACATAAAAACATACGCAGAGATGCTATCATCCACTATTCCGTCCCCCCCAGGGAACCGTGAAACCCTTGGCGTTTTTCGCGGTCCCCCCCCGGTAACTGGCGGCATGATGGCTACTTTTACTACAAACACCATAACGGAATTGTACAACAGTCAGTCGGCGGGTATGAGTAAGGGTTGTGTGAGAGGAAGCTTGAAGGAAGATTCCTTTTTTGATTTGCATGTCGTGTTCGTTTAGGTTAGGCAAAAGAGAGGCAGGATAGCTTGAACAGAATCAATCTGAAAAGCCTGCCTCGCTTCTGGGAGAAAGCGTATGTAGATTGCTCTTGCTGAACAGACTCGCAACTTGGGACATGGGAAACGAAAAACATACAGGCACCTGATTATTCCGTTACAGGGAATCGAACCCTAGGCTATCGCGCATTTGATGCGGCCACTATACCATAACGGATGTAGAGGTACATGTTCATATGAGAAGCATGGGGTGTGATACGTGCGAATATTATGGTGACGTGCGGGAAGTCCAAGAAGCTGACACGCGTTTACCTCGTTTGTCAAGGCTAATTCCACTTGCGATAACCTGTACTCTTTCTGTTCGGGAGTAATCTCTCTAGGGGCATTGGGGGAAAAACAAAAGATGTACTGAGTATCGTTGTGTCCATCTCAGGGAATTGAGCCCTGGGCAGTCGCCTTTGATAGCTACAAATCAGAGGCGCCCCTACACCACAGCGGATATGGGGAACTGAGACTTGTCATCGATCGATAAGAACCTTTGGTATAGTTGCTATGGGATTTGGGTTACCGTGTATGTGATTCAGAAGAGAAGGGAGGAGGCCTAGCTAGAAATAGAGTCGGATAGGTTCCCCTTTTGTCTGTTCAGCATAGATAGGAATACATCTCTCTCTAAGTTTCTTGTCCCTTGATTTATACTGGTCAAAGTTAGCACTAATTCTCAATTTTTGTAGCAAATAAGATACAGAAAGGAAGATCAACTTGTTTGACCGTATGTCAGCTTGGTGCCTTCACCTTCTACCACGCGTCTAATTTCATTACTCTAGACAAGTAGGGTAGGATGGACTGATTCACGTCTTCAAGACTCGGATGACCCACACTTGCCCTTAAGAGGTAATGCTTCGCATCTAAGATAGCGATACACGAGTTTACGAATGTTAGGCCACTGTTGCCCGCATTGGGTTGAACGTCTGGGACAAAAAAAGGGAGAAACTGTTGCAGTAACCAATAGCCCACCGCGAGGGTCGAACTCGCAGCCTTCAGATTTCGAATATGCGTCCATTGCAATAAGAGTCTGACGCTCTATCCGATTGAGCTAGGCGGGCTATGGGGGGTTCAAAAAGGCACGCCCACCCAGAATGGCGCTGATAACTTACCTGTCCTGCTTTGCTGGACACGAATTACTCTCGGAGTACCTAGCCGACATGGCTTCACAGGGACACCGAAGACGTGAAAATGAATACCTACCTGCCAGAAGAACGAAACGTGTAGGCACACCGGAAGGGCCAAAATTTCTGCTCAGCGGATATCCCTCAAACCCCCACTGAAAGGTGTTCTGAAATATCGAATGATAAGCCATATAAGGATAATCGCGTCATGTGATCGCCCGATATGGTTAATCGGTAGCATTTCAGTACACATATCCGTCGAGCATATTTTTGGTGTGAGGAGAAGCGAAGAAAAGAACAGTGACACGTGTTTACGACATCAGTGGGACCTCGGACACTCTGCTCCGTTTCGTTTCTTTCCTTCTCCTCTGATGTCCCCACAATCACTCCGTCTCCTTCAACGTATGTCGTCCCTCCATCCATCCTACTGCTCCTTTTCCGTTTACTCCCTTCTGTCAGCCCAATTGCGTTTCTCATAACCATTTTTGTGGGGGTAGCTATCGATTGGATGATGTTGGCGAAAGGTACGTCTTCCGACTCTTCGATCACGAACTAGCATTCTTCCGTTCTTTTTTCTTTCTCTGGCTGTCCCTGTAGAAATAGCCCTACGCGTATCTTTGACATCGGCGGCGACACGGTCACCTTCCTCTGGGGACACACTGCCTACGCGAAATTACCTTCCAGCTACGACCATTCATTTGCACTGTCAATTCCACCATACACCCCCCACCATGCCGTTCGCTCTCATCTCGAAGCACCAAGCCTACGCAGAACATGTAAAGTGGTTATTATGCACAGAAGGTTCGTTCCTATTATATCTTCCTTTCGTTCGCTACTCATCGATGCCATTTGCTAGACTACCACGTTCTGTACTTCCTACTGAGATGGCAGGTGTTTTATCCTCCTCTACCTGCCGACATGTATCCTTCGTGCGTCCTTGATAATATTTCCTCCAGGGCCGAGTTTACATTTTCTTTACAGATGTTCCCGCACCGCTCCATAGGTTCTCTCATGCCCGTTTGATTCCTAGCTTTACTGGTTTACTTGGTGAAATGCTGATCCTTAGCCTCTCCAAGTACAGAGTTAACTCCGCACCGTCTGGCCTCCCGAATGCGCCTCCCTCTCCTCTCTCTCCATCGACTCAATTGCTCCTTCCTCAATGACACCCTTGAACGTTCAACGCAAACGCACCACGCTCTTTCTCGCTAGAGCGTCATTCGTATCGCAGGGGAAAGTGAGTTAAAGAGGAAGACTGAGGGTAAAATGGGCGCAAGGTTCGTTCCTACTTTACCATCTCTCGTTTCATCCTCGTTGATCAATCTGTTTGTCTAATAGGTGCCGAGCCTTTCATTCCCCGCGTTTGATAAAACCTGAAACAGCGGAGAAGGCGTACCTCAGTCCGGAGCTGGTGCCAGACGAACATTTGATATAGCCTACTCCCTTGTTTTAGTCCCTGCACATCCACTCACATCCATGCGTTCCTGATTGTTTTATCTCACCGGGTTCGTCCAAACTCGATGTCCTACTGAGGAAGACACTCATCGATCTTCCCCGATGTATTATATGCTCGTTCTGACTATTGTAACACCGATACGTAGAAGGGTCTTCGCGTGCCTGGGAGTTCACGTGTAGAGTACATTCAATGATAATCAGACAATTTTGTTCCTTCTTGGTCCCAAGAGTTTGACGCTCCATCCGTTTGAGCTGGGTATGCTTCAGCTTATGACCTTGACCTGTGGAGGTCGATGAGAGGCCACTGTACCCTATATAATGGATGAAGAGGTGCAGATTCATTCCATGGCCAGGGATGTGCGAGAGAAGAGAGGTCCAACCAAGATCGGCATCAGAGCGGACATGAATGTGTTTACCGCGTTTCTTGCCTCAGTTAGCCCGAGACTCAGTTCCTATAACCTCTATTCTCTCAGCCCATGTTGCGTGATAAATAACTTCTGGGCGGAATTGGAGGACGAAAACATAAAATATCCTTACAATACACTACACTTCCGTTTTAGGGGATTGAACCCTGGGCTGTCGCCTTCTAGTAACTAGTAATTCGCCACTACGCCATAACGGAGATGTAGGGAGAAGTTCGCCATTGATTCATGAAAGCCATTGGTATTGTATAACGAGCATGAGATCTGGCTCATCACGGGAAAAAAAAATGTGAGAGAGATAGAAGAACTACTGTTAACTTGTGAGGTTCACCTCTTGTCTGTTCAGTAGAGATAGCATAGCGTCTACCTCAAGGTATGGTGGTCGGTTATTCATCCTGGACGGACTTACCTCAAATCAGCCTCAGTAGCAGATAAGATACAGAAAGGAAGGGGTGTTGTTAGTTCGTTGCCTCACCTCTATGACGCGTCCAACTCTATCGCTCTAAACGAGGAAGGGAAGGACAGTCATACCACTGTTTCCCTCGTCGACATGAATTCCTAGAGACAAAAATAAGAGAAAAGATGCCAAGCTCAGTCAAATCATTAGCCCACCGCGAGGGTCGAACTCGCAGCCTTCAGATCCGATATTGTTTACTCCCCTTCATAAGAGTCTGACGCTCTATCCGATTGAGCTAGGCGGGCGATGGTATCCGAAGGACACGCCCAAGTTATCAGAGCAACAGGGCGTCTTGTTCTTGCCGTTTTAGCTCTGCGGGTAGAACAACACACATAAAAACAGTGGTCACATTTTACCATCCATTCCGTTGCAGGGAATTGAACCCTGGGATATCGCGACTTCCTGCAGGGCAAGTTAGGAGAGGCGATAGTCTCCTGTAAGCAGACACGTCTCCTCCCTTTTTTGAGAGAGTGAGGGCGGTCGGAGACCGTCTGCCAGCAAACGCGGGGTTGAACGGGGACCAGCTTAGCCGAGTCATGCTTACATTCTCACGCACCAAGACGCGCCCCTAATTAGAGTGTTTGGATTTTTACTGTACGTATTTTTCAACGATATTCGTCTCCTTTGTCTACCATACACCACTTCTCGCCTTCGGTTTACTTTCCAGGAGGTATAATGATGAAAATCATTCCTGAGACCTCGCAGAGCAGTAGTGACAATTCGGGATGTTTCATGCACGTAGCTTGCACCAACCCAGTCTGCCAGGAGTAGAAAACTACGTGTGTTTGTTATCAATGACATCTCAAACCACTTCTAACCGATTCTTACACTCGAGATGTATCAGGTATATGGATATTGAAACCCTCAGAGTTGGTTTGTTTGGAGTCAATTATGTGAAATTAGATGGGATTTCAGTGTTAAAAGACTTTTAAAAAGACAGATAAGTGATTGTTTTAGGGGGACTGTTGGAGTTTCTACAGTTCCCGAAGACCTCTGCTTGAATTTGGTGCGTGAGCAGTGTATGCTGGACGGATTGAGTAGTCGGGAATGCTGATGACTCTGGCGGGGTAGTGACACGGGGAGTTAGGATTAAATCAATGATATCATATTTAAAATGCCTATGCAGAGCGTGAAGACATGATAGAGTGGATAAATTAGTGAGAATGTCGTGTCGATATCGTGGATGGAGCTGAAGCGCGCTGAAAAAGCCTGATTCCATTTTCGGAACAGCCACCGTGGGAGTATTTTAGTTTCCCAGGACCCTGGTCCCCGCTCAACCTCGCGTTTGATTTCAGACTAGAGAGGCGATAATGTTGGCCACTACACCATAACGGATGTTATGCAAACGTGGTAGGTTCTTGCCTACATCTTACCGTGAAGAGAACAATCTTGCCTGCAGGAAGGATGAAACGTGAAGAAGAAAAGAAGAGCGACACGTGTTTACGATATCCAAGTCAGTGGGACCTCGGACACTGGGTCGCCTCGTTTCTTTCTTTCGCCTCTCATGTCCCCACAATCGCTCCTTCTCCTTCAATGTATGTCGTCCCTCCACTTATCTTACAGCTTGCACTAAACCATCTTCGTTCGTCAGGATCACATTTTCAGCAACCAGCATTATGGGGTGTATTAGATGATATTGGCTCAAAGTACTAACGTTGGGCTAGAAGTGCAAAAAAAAATGTCGCTATCGTATACTTTCACCAATTCTTACTCAATGCCCCTGAAAAGCCAACTCATTTACTTTGGTATCTAAAATTTAGGTTCGCAAAGTCCTGGAATTTTTAGAGGTATGTGGATTGAAGCCAGGACGCCCGACGAGACCCTCGAAAATGGCGGGAGTGCAAAAAAGTGACATGGTGTGACATAACAATGCCGCGGGATGCCGAAGCCTTGCCGAATCGTGAAATTTTTCTACGTTGCGCGACTGCGAAATTCAAGTATATTGAAGGTTCTTTGTTATGCTAGCTGGTGATCATCCACACAGGATTGACGCTGGGCAGAGGATGCAGACGTGAACGTTGAGGACAAAGAGGCAGCGAGCGGAGTTTGATAATTTTCAGTGAGAAATCCCATGCCGTCGTATCGCCGACGTACCTCAACCTTTGTTAACATTCCTCAGAGCATTCTGTGCCCTGAAAAGTCCCGGAATGCAATGTTCTGCACTTGAATATGAATACCTGAAATTTTGAGGGCAAATGGTGCGAGCCCTCGCCCGTGAAAAATATTTCGGAACCTGTCACGCTTGGCAGATGGGACTTTTCAATACATATCGAGGCCTTGAATTTATCTCTCTCAACGCCTCAGAAATTTGATTAGATAGTTCGATACCTAGGGTTCTGAAGTCTCTAAATTAAATTGTGCTAAGGATATGGTGCAGAAATCATGTTGATAGAAACGAGTTTTGCATTTTTTGCACTTTCGGCACTTTTTGCACTTCTAGCCCAACGTTAGTACGTGCTCCAGTGCTTTCGTCACGATCTGGCGTTCATCTATCTTCCAAATCTCCTATTCCGATGTTAGGCATACTCTCACAACCATGAATCCAAGACCAAGAACGCGTACACTCAGGCCTCAGCGCTCAGCGCTCGGCACTCAGCTTTTCGGCTCCATCCACTTCCGTTGCACCCATCATACGGGGTTTGAGAGTTTTCTGCGCATTCTTTTCTATCTAATTCATCTTCCTTTCAGGAACGAACGCACTGATGAACCCCAACGAAACACGAACGATCAATCACCCACGTTGAAGTATAAACCTTCAGAATTTCGAGCAATCGTATACATGGTTCGTGGGTGTTCTGCGCAGTCTCCTCCATACAACTCATCGCCCTTGCAGAAATGGGCCCAGAGCACAGACGAACTCTAGACGAGCAGGATTAGGGAATTCGAGGTATGTTTACTGTATTACTTCGTTTTCGCAGGGAGCTGATCGTTACGCTGTCCGGTTACAAGATCCAACTCCTCTGTATTAATGAAACCGTGCGCAGGGTACAACGGAAAGGATTCAGGATACAATCGACGTGCGTTCTCACCTGGCTGTGTTACTCCATACAATTACTCGTACCGGCTCCTCGATAGGCTCAACTCTTGTGCTCCGTTCCTCCGAACCTTTCAACGCGTATATTGAGTGACATCACAGACTACACGGTCACCCTCCTTCGAAGACATAACATCTACACGAAGCACATCATTTCTAACATCTGCGGACGCTCACTAGCACCCAAGCGTTCCGAGATGAAGTGTGCGGGGTCAATTTCTCCGTTTAAGCCGGGATTTGATCATTATCCTTCTTAGATCTATAATCCATCTGAAGAACACCCAACGCCTCGACCCTCGAATGGAGTTATGCCTGAAAAAAGATGAATACAGGGAGCAACTGAGGGTATGTTACCTCATTCTGTTCTCTTCCTTCATACGCTGACCCTTGATCCCTCTCTTCCTGCCTGGCGTCCAAGGGGTGGGTAGACTCTCGCAGCATGATCTTCCCGACACACTGACCCAAACCCATAGCCTTTTTTCATAGGCTCACTCGCGCTATACCCTGCTATACCCTCACGATTTCGTTTGACGTCGTTATCGCTCATGCGTCACCCGCATCATTGGGGAAAGTGAGTTAAAGAGAAAGCTTGTGGGTAGAGAAGGTTTAGGGTTTGTGCGTACTTTTTCACCTTCTTCCATTCGATGTTGATGAATCTTCCTGTCAGATATTCATAAAGCCTTTATAACCCCATATCCGCACCAAGATGAGGGTGTACGTTCGTTCAACCCCGCATTTACGCTGACGTTTTCTCTGGCATAGAAGTTAGGTGACATCTCGCAGTGATCACGGCTTGAAGAACGGATACCCACAACAACTTTCCGAGTGGTTACTCATTCTGAGTAAGCGTTCCCTAGTCGTTCGAAGGGTCGTTGATATCGTGGAAGGTCTGGACTGTGGTAGTTTTATAGAGACTTCCGAATCCTGAGACATGTATAACACCTACGTGTAGATTAGACGTTGGAATCAACGATAGTGATATGTTCTTTGATGTCGCCACGGATGAAAGCCGACATGGCATATGCGACAATAACAAAGAACGTGTTTAGCTAACGACACTTGACCAGCAATTGGGACTATACCCCCATGCCCTAAAATGCACTGCTACAGGAGTTTCACAGTGCCCGGCGTGGTTCGAACACGCGGCTTCAAGATTGTTCGTGATCTTGAGGAACATTGCAATCTCACACTCTACCGCTGAGTTACGGGCACTTGGGAAAGGAGGAGCTGGATGGGCCATTATGTAATCCGAGATTCGCGTGAGGAAGCCAAACCTTCAACACCAGTTTCTAACTGCCGTTATCCGAGTCCGAGATAAGTATCTGTCCGACCATCAGAATAAGGTGGACGGGGTTGAGACTAATCTTCTCACTGAGGAAGGAGGCGAGTTGAAGAAAAAGGAACCAACAAAACATTGCCTTCTTTAATTCCCCTTTAGCCAATTTAAACGACTGGCCACCTGTAACACAGGAATAAGACGAGGGAAGCGCTGCACACATGAGCTAAGGACGATAATAGCATTATCAACCCCTGAAGCGAGGCTACAATGCTGGTGAGAAAACCCAAAGCCAAGACGCGTACTTTGGTTATCTGGTGAGGCTCGAAAGGTTGACATAAAATCTTCTCGACCTCACTGTTGAATGGTTCAATCCAGACCTTCTGTGCGCCATCAAATTCTTTGGGTATGTGAGACGGATGTGATAACCGACTACACCATCGAACCGATGGGGTCTCTCGGTGACGTGTTACCCTGCCCTGAGCTGATTGAACGCGCAAACCCCTCGCCTCGTGTTGTTGCAATGTTCGTGCTCTGTAATCCTCTGAGCTTTACGTGTTCGGAGTGTAGAATGTACTCAAGTGTTCAAAGATTCCGATCTACTGAAGCTTAGCGTATAGAATACCACACTTCCTTGATCCAAGAAGGTGAGCACAAAGACGGATGTGAGAAAATGCATATACCTCCATATCATTCTGAGATGGGACATAAGGCGATGATGAAAGTGAGCCAGTACATTATATGAAGAACATGATCAATACTGAGAGAACCACATGAGCGACAGAGGAGGGAATAAAAGGGAAGCTTAGCCTTGACGTGTTGTCATCCCGCTCTTGACAAATATCAGAGCGGAGCAAGGCGTTGGGTTTTGCTGATTATCGGATTCTTCTCGATCGCTATATTGATGGACTCCTAAATCTAGTTCCTTCCCGTCATCATCATTATCCGAACGCAGTGGTTTGTCCAGCATACAATCCGTACTAGTATAGAGAATCGGACCGAGTAGGACTTAACGGTGTGGCACCAACATCTCTATTGACTATGTATCTCTCAAGACCACGCCTTTCCGCAAGTCACAGCATTTCCGTCATCCGCGGAAAATGATTGCAGGGAGACAGAAACAACGGATCCAACATCGGTTTGCACTGGCCAATTCTTGGTCGCCCCGAGGATTTATCGCGGGGATCGTATCACGACCCTTGTCTTAGGAAGCACGCTATACTGGTAGGAGATAGCACACAAACAGACATGGCAAAGGAAGACGACTTTCTCCGATGTTTAGGGATCAAGAAGCTAGCTGACGATGTACATTTGGATGTGTTGCCAGTTACATAGTCCCATACCATCAAGACACGGGTGTTCATTGATTTCTTGATTCAGGTACACCCGAGGCTGGAGCTTTGTTCGGCATCATGCGTTTCGCATATAAACATGAATTCGATTATCGAGGTCATGAGGCTTAGATCATCTGCGAAAGAAACGATGACCAACTGCATCTAAGCTATAATTAGCCTGAGGGCGGTGGCGGCGATGCGCCGAGCTGTAATTGTCTTTTCTGCCTTTCCCAAGTATCGCGGAGCCAGAGCGATGATAGCTGATGTGTTAGTATCTCATCACCTTCTTTCGATGGCCATGTTCACCTTGATAAACTCTGGGTCGCACCAACGGTTAAGTACAATGATTACTCATTGACTGATCCGTGGTATCTACCGCACGTAGGCTACTCTGAAAGGTTTATAAAGATCATTTACTATGCAGAATATATCATCGAAATGGGCGGCGGAACACTACTTGCGAAGCTGAATGCGCTGGCCGTGTTGATTGAATGTATACTTTACGGTAAGTTCAGGTTCTTGGAATTCTTTCATTCTGCACTGGAGCTTTTTCATAGGTGTATTTGCTCTGCTTCTTGCAACCACTTCCATGGTGGCGTTTCGAAAGAAGATCACTATGCAAGCTGTTCGATTCCACGTGATTGGGATTTTGATGTTTATTTTATGTACGATAGTGCGTACTCGAGTGCAGCCTTATTGGGGTTCTACTGCTAGCCTTCGACTGACAATGCTTTACCGGTGGATAGCATGTCATTATAAACATCACTCGAGTAGTAAAAGCACTCGACGGCGAACAGGGGATTATTGTCCCTCCCACTAGTCCCAGGTTTCTCATTCGGCAATCCATTCTCGTGCTCCAGATCATGCTCGGCGATGGATCTTGGGTACGTAACTTGTTGCGTGCGTTGCATTGTACGACCTCAGACCTGTCTGTATTACGCTTGTCAGCTATATCGGCTTCATGTCGTCTGGAACGGTGACAAACGAGTTACCCTACCCTTCTTGGTCGCAACCATCACCGTTTTTGCGGTCGGAATCCGTATCAATGTATTATTCGGGCATGCCTTAACCCACACTGGGGAGACAATACCTCCTAAAATCTTTAATATCTCGATTGCTGTAATCGCATTATCACTTGTAACAAACCTCGGGTGTACGGGTAAGTTTGGTTCAACGTTTCTATATCATCACTCATTACCAACCAGGTCTTATCGCTTTTCGCCTGTGGTATGTGCGATACAAAGTTCGAGAGATACGTAGCACTGGAAGCCAGGACGTGCTAAGGACCTTTATGTTCCTCGTCATCGAATCAGGGGCGATGTACACTGTACTCTTGTTGTTTTCCCTGATTACCCTCGTCTACAAAACAAGCATACATTCTATCCCAAACGAAACAGTGAGTTTGAGTCTTCTCTTGGTGAAATATGGGGCTCAAGATATTTGGGTCTGCAGATGATGCCACTAACTGTGCGTATTCAGTCCATACTCCGAAACTCCTTGTCGCTCACTGCAAACCGTTATAGGGACTTTTCTATTATATGATGGTGTCCCAATCTACCTTTGGGTCAGGGAGGCACGAGCCAAATCGACAGTCAGTCCATCAAGATTGGGCCGACATTGGTACTGGAAGACCTGGAGATATCGAGTTAACTTCACCTCCAGAAGCTCGTTTCAGCCTCCGGTCAGCATCTTTACATCTCACTCAATGGGAGACTAGAGCGTTTGAGCGAGAAACTGTATTCAAAAGCACTTGATCTTTAAGACGATAACAGTGATCAGCGAATTGTTCGAACACAGTACATTAACAATACATAGCGTTACAGAGACAAAATGGGATTCATTGAGGTCGCGATGGTTTATACTTTTGCGTGAGTGACTAGGTATGGGAGAAGAGAGCGGTATTCCTTGGAGTTGGAGAGGGTTCGAGCAATGTTCAAACATGAAGAGTACGTTGAGACGGGGCAATCCCGACTCAGTGAATAGGTACAACGTGCTAGAACACCTGTAAACCACGTAGAAACTCCGACAAACTCCGCCCGGATAGTCCCGTACCCCCTACTACAACGTTTGTTTCTAATTTCCCTCGAAAGAGTAAAATGGTAAGGAAAACAGAGTTTACGAAAGTCATTCCCTTTTCCCTTGGATGAACAGGAAAGAAATTAATACCCCCAAAGGCTACAGTAAACGTTGAAATTCATGGAAAAGGTCAAGAAAGCGACTGCAATAACGAACTCGCACGTACAGGAAAATAGCAGTATTTGGTACATGACAATAACCAGCTCGCAATGCGCGCCTTGAATGCTGTGCCCAATAGGTACGAGGGTTTATATTGAACGTGAGATTGGGTAGTGTTTGAATGGTATAACATGGAAAGATCGCGTTACGTGCCTTAAAAAAAGTATTGCGAAGGAGAATAGCCCATCGCGAGGGTAGAACTTGCATTACTCGCATAGTAGGTATCGGGACAGCAGTTTCACGCTCTATCTAGTTGAGCTAGGCGGGCCTACTCTGCGAGTCGATGGGTACGAGACGCAACTGTCTTTACAATCTGTCTTTTCGGATTGCAAGATGTCACCCTGCTTTCCGGGGTCTTTCGCTGGATGAAGTTGCATGGGAACGAGCTGGTAATCAGTGTCTGTGTTTTGCAAGGTCGATACGACTCATCTGTATCTATCCTTGATGCCTGTCGTCGCGCTGATAGTTGGTTCTGTTCCGGTAGTAAAAAGATTGAGTTACATGAGATTTTCCTAGGCATTTACAGTGCGTTCTACAGTCTCACTCACATTTCACTTTATGGAAATATATCTCGTTCACCAGTTTTACTCGGTAATAACGCATTTTTCGCTCACGGTATCGCCAAATGATTCGCGAAGACCTATGTGTGCTAGTGTCGGCAGGAGCTGTCCGTGTGGCCACACGGGATTCCACTTATCATTCTGTGACTGCTTTCGTTCGACTGGCGGTGCTGAGGTTGCCTTTATATGCCTGTCATCATCCCAGGGACGGGAGATCCACAACAACCAGACCAATCGATTTTGGAAGAACGAAACGTGTGGGAGAAGCGAAGAAAAGAAGGGCGACACGTGTTTACGACATCAGTGGGACCTCGGACACTCTGGTTCGCCTCGTTTCTTTCCTTCGCCTCTCATGTCCCCGCAATCGCTCCTTCCCCTTCAACGTATGTCGGCCCTCCGCTCAGCTTATAGCTTGCACTAATAGATCCTTTGTTAGCCCGAATTTCATTCCCAACAATCAGCATTGTAGGGTAGGTTGGAGGATATTAGAGGAAGGTACGTCCTATGATGCTTTCGTCACGCTCTGGCGTTCATCTGTCTTCCAGAATCTCGATATCGACGTTAGGCATACTCTCACAGCCGTGAACTCAACACCAAGAATGCGGATCCTCGGCTTTTTGGCCTCCATCCATCGTCCAGACTTCGAATTCGTGGGTTTTCTGCACTTTCATTTCCATCTGATTCATCTCCCTTCTAGGAATGAGCCGCAACCAAGCTACGAACGATTATTCACGTACATTAAAGCATAAACCTTCAGATTTTCGGCTCCATCTCAGCGACCATATACATGGTTTGTGGGTGTTCTGC